ACAGTAGAGAGAAGTCGCCATTGCTATAAAAGTAAGTATTTACCTTAAATATGCTAATTCATTATATTTAAATTCGACACAAAAGCGCACTTTCTCTAAATAAAATTTTTTTTACGTGAGGGCCGCAATTGCTTCGAAAATTTAATCATCTTAATTTTAATTTCCATGTTTGTGTATTTCGCTAACACAAAGAAGGCGTATTTTTAAATTTTTATTTCTCAAATTTAGGCTTCTTTATTTAAAACTATTTATATTAAAGTAGTGTACAAATTTGTATAACCTGCAATTTAAAAAATGTATGAAAAAAAGTGGAACTATCTGGGTAAACTGTTTTTTTTATTTGTAAGGAAAAATTTTCTTTTAAAAAAGTTTCCACGATGGGTCGATATAGGAAAAATTTGAAATCAACATTAATAATTTTAATTAGTTGATTTAGCTTCGTTATGAAACATAGGCAATTTTATTAGAATGTAACACGCTACGTTGAGAAAATTTGTTAAAAGTTAAAAATATTTATTAAACAACGATAGAAATTGGTGATAAAAGTTTTAGAATTTTTAAGATCTGAAATAAACTTACCAGTTTATTCAAATGAATTGTGCTTAATTTTGATTATTATTTATGACTTTCTTGGGTTGAGCTAAGAAATGTGATTTAGTAGAATAAACTGAACAGTTAGTGAAAACTGTCGTTGGTAATTTTATTGTGTGGGAGTTTATAAATCTAATTAAAAAAACAGAAATTATGAAGTATTTCAGGTTAAAGAAATGTTGAAAGTGATTACGAAATGACGAAGGTAAGAAAAGATAGCAGAACAACAAATACAAGAGGAAATATAGCAGAACGACGAAGACAAGATTAAAAAAGTAGTGAGATAAAGACAAGACTAAATAGCAGAATTATAAAGATAAAATTAAAATAGCAGAACTACGAAAACATTAAACAGCAGAATGATAAAAATAAGATGAAATAGCAGAACGACGAATATAAGAATAAATAGCAGAACGGCAAAAACAAGATTAAAATAGCAGAACGACGAAGAGAAGAACGTTCAACAACTACTACGTTGTGCAGCACAACGAAGACAAGAGGAAATAGCAGAACGACCGAGACAAGATGAAATAGCAGAACGACAAAGACAAGAAGAAATAGCAGAATGATAATGACAAGTAGTAGTGATTAAATTGCAGAATTAGTAAACAGTGGTTAGTAAACATTATTTAACATAACGACCTGTAATAAAAAACTTACTGAAACTAATTGGCAGATTGTGGGCAGAAATGGCAGATAAGCATTTTTCACTTGTTCACAGACTTTGTCAATTGAATAATATGCATATCCATATTGAATAATAGATGAATTCCCACACTGGGTAACTTGGGAATGCTTTTCAGATCCGTTCTGATTAAGATTAAAAAGAATGTACGATATCGATACCCTTGATGTTCTTTCAGAGAAAGTATGTTTTGTGTCTGGTTTCATAACTTAAAATATCGTCTACACTAATTAACTAACATATTTGAAGTCAGCCTCGTGAATCATTAACAATGAGTCCTAGTACTTAAAAACCCTATCATTATGCAGGGCTAAAGAGAATAGAAGGGCTGGTTCACTCCTTTGAAGCAACTCTCGCCGCGCCAATCCTCCGATTTTCTCTAGTGACGTCACTTTGGCGCAAAGCTCGCACTTTTACTTCAAGAACGGAGCGTTCGGCCTTACTAGCTCTAACTAATATTTGATCATTTCTTTTTGCGAGATTGATAAGACATTTGTTAGTTACTATAATGACTTTCCTCAGTTTTTGCAGTGAATTTACAAGAATTTAAAACTATTATCGAAATGCCAGTTTGCGCTATTGCAACTTGAAAAAATTCTGATACAAAAACAAAAGGAAAAAATATAATTTTCGGCGTGTTCCCTAAAGTAAATGAAGAACTATGTAAAGAATTGATTCCGAAATGACACAGTTAATATAAAACAGCAATATGTTTATTCTGTCGTTAAGAACTTTTATAAAAATTTATTATCTAAATAGAAACCACCTCGTTACTTCAAAAAGAAAGACAGGTGAAAAGAATTAAAAAATGGATAAAGTCAAGGAAAATTAAAATGCAAATAAAAAGTATAAGTAAAATATATAGTATATAGTTGAAATTCTCCTAATTTCATAACATATTTTTTAATGTAGTTATTCTAAATATTTATGATTTTTTTTAAAAATTATATTCTCTTCAATTTAAATATCTATAAATTATATCATCGTAAATTTAAATGTCTATAAACAATTGTAAAATTTCTAATGTCATTATGAACCTAAATTATTATTTTGTTTCAGTAATTAGCGTTTAAGGTTGATGTTTCCTAATGATTAAGTATGAACAAATTGCTATTAACGACATATTTTAAAATCAGGGATTCTAAATTTAACTTAACTTATCGTTATAAAAGAATATGTAGATAAAAAAAGTGTCGATATATGCCTTCATTTTTCTTAATAGTTAAAGTTAAAACTGAACTTTTTAAAATAAAGTATTTATCGTGTCATTTTCACCAACTAGCAAAACATTTTTATAAGTTTAAAATGGTATTTTTTTTAATATAATAACCAAGAAAGTTTTTTTTGAACTATGTTTATGAACGGAAATAATGTGTTTATTACGTAAAGTTTGAAAGCTAATAACCAGAAAAAGTCTAACTTATTTTTACAAATAGAAAAATACAAAGTTATCATATCTTTGCTTGCGATCTCCTAGATCTGTGGACACAGTGACGTCATGAGGAGGGAATTCGTAGCTTCAGCTCTAAGAGCGGAGTGAACTAGCCCTTCTATTCTCTTTAGCCCTGATCATTATATCAAAAGTTATTCAGAACGCTCCTTTTTTTGCGTACTATACATGTTTATTATTTGATATAAATTGTTTTTTTTCTATCGAATATATATCATATAATATAAATAAATATATATCATCAATATTTTAAAAAAAATGTTTTATTAAATGTACAATGCATACGATAAAATTACTTACAAAGTATCATTTGAAATGCAAGTACCACACATGTGTTAAGTATAAAAGTATTGAACAACACAATTCTATATACATACATAAAAATTTTCTTTTCCTAAAGAAATTTTTTTTTTCATGAGAAGCATTCATGAAAATTGCCAACAATTCCCCCCATTCAATATTAAATTTTAAAGAAAAAAAATTGGATTTTTCCCTTTCAAGTTGCTAAACATAGCTTGTAATTTTTTAAACAAATGCTACAATATTTAGTAAAATATGCTATCACGTATTCGATTGATTCAAATGTATCAGTCAGCAATTTTATTTTAATTTAGAGTCTATGTTGGTATTCATAACCAAATGAAGGTGTTTAAACTTCTTAAGGATTAAATTCTTTACCTCTCTTAGCAAGCACTAAACTAATTGTTAACGTTAACGGAATGACACGTTTTAAAAGTAACTAGCTAAAGTATAAGTACTTTAAGTCCCGAATTTGAAGAAAAAAAACTCTCATTTTTTCTTAAAGTAAATGAATTTGAAGTACGAGTAAGAATTCAGGAACAACTTTTTTTTAAAAAAAGCAAGAGCACTTTATAGAAAACTAAGGTTTAAAAGCACTGCACACTTTTCCACCAAAATGTATGAATGGAAAACTAAGTTTTGCCCTGAAATGGGAGTAGTTGATGGAAAAAATACAACAAAAAAAAAGACTCATTAGATTTTTTTTTTACTTTTAGAAGAAAAAAAAACAATGATTTATTTCTACATCATTATGAATAATCACTCCACTAATCATCAGGACTGTTAGGTCAAGTTTTGTCTATCTTTAGGTAGCACTCTCTATGTTATGCTAAAAAAAAAAAACGCAAAATGTCAATATGTAGAGAGGCTACAGTTATGAAAAAATTTAAAGCGTTTGTTGTCTAATTTTTTAATATTTGAAAACTAACTCCAATGTTCCATATCTGGTCTCACAAAACTTAGATAAGGTATTGAGTTTGATAATTTTCATCTAAAAAATGTCACTAAATTGGCGATTTTTACGAAATGTTAATAACTTTTAATATATTTAAGTTATTTGTCCGTTCTAAATTTCAGATAAATCTTAACTGAAAGATGACATTTATAATTTAATATTACAGCTTTGCTCCAAGTAAAAGGCACTTAAATTGTGGCTTTTTTATTTATCTAGGAGACTGACTTGACTTTTAAACCGAGATTTAGATAATCAAAAAGCTTTATCTACAGAAAGCTACTTATACTCCGCTTTGATAACCTGGCTTTTTTTGCATTTTCCATTGACATATTACTGCCAAATTATCGAAACAATTTAACCACATCAATAACTATACCACTAAACTAATAACCTTTTACATTTTAAAAGAGTGTCACTAAACTTATTGTTTAGTTAAATTTTCAAAACTCAATTTGCAATATTAAATAAGCATTTTGTTTGTAATTAGAAAAGTATGTCTTTTTAAATAAAAAAAAAAGTCGACTAGGTGTAATTAGCCCCATTTATCGTAATAGTCTCTTAGCGATTTTTGAGTTTTAGAGTATTATTAAAAACTTAATAAAATATTTTATTCAAAACATTGTTCTTTGAATTGTACCAAAAAGCCAAAAAAATCGACAAAATAGATAAAGAAACAAATTAGTTGCAATTGTCGGTAATGAAAAACAAGTTAACTTGATATCAATAAAAAAATATTTCTTAAATCATTATCATGTTTATGAAAATTATCATATCATCAAATAACGCAGCTATCACGACAATAATTGGAGGAACCCAAGACCCAACCAGCATTTCCTCCATTGAGAAACTGATTGAGAAATTTTTTTTCCTTTTCAATTTGTTCTACAACAAATTTTAATAAGCGTTTTTATGATTAGTGCATATTGATAGAAATTTTTAGACATGCTTTTTTAATAATATAAACAAATATTTGTCATGTTTTTCTTTGCAATTGACAATCATTTATATATTTCAAATGTAGGACATTTTAAATTAAGATTAACTTTCTTATGTTAATAAAAGTATAACAGAAGGAAAAAATAATTATATAAGCATGAAATGCAGTCAATTTGACGTAGATTTTCTACTAGAAAATTTGATCTCAATTAAATTACGTGGAAAAGTGGTGTGAGGATATTGGCTGAATTTTTTTTCTACTATATTGTTTCTTAAAAAATGTCTTAAAATGCCTTTAATGTGCTTCTTTAACTTTAGCAGCTTGAACAGATTTTGATATTAAGCAATTTTTTTTAAATAACACATTATTCACTGGTGTTTTCAATTTTATTTCGTATAGCGTTGATATCCTGATACTTGAAATTATATAAACAATGCACTTAATCTTTGTAATAATTACCAGAACAATCCTTGTAATAATTACCAGGAACCTGAGCATTAAAACTAAACATTATCAATTTTAGTTTTAAACTTAATTTCTAATATTCTTTAGATTATTAATACTAAACTATATTTTTAAAAAATGTAAATAATAAGAAATAATGGAATGAAAATATCAAATTATAGAGTGTATATTTCCTACTTTGATCTATCATTATATCAATAACAAAAAATAATAGCGCAAAACAATATCAAATAATGATGTATATTTCCTCCTCTGATCTACCATTATATGAATATCAATAACAAAAAATAATAGCATAAAACAATATCAAACTATGATGTCTATTTTCTCCATTGATCTATCATACCAATAACAAAAAGTAATAGCATAAAACAATATCAAACTATGATGTCTATCTTCTTCCTTGATCTATCATATCAATAACAAAAAATAATAGCGTAAAACATTATCAAAGTATGATATCTATTTTCTCCTTTGATCTATCGTATCAATAACAAAAAATAATAGCATGAAACAATATCAAACTATGATGTCTATTTTCTCTTTTGATCTTTCATATCAATAACAAAAAATAATAGCATAAAACAATATCAAACTATGATGTCTATCTTCTTCTTTGATCTATCATTTTTTCAATATCAATAACAAAATATAATAGCATAAAACAATATCAAACTATGATGTATATTTTTTCCTTGACCTATTATTTCCTATCAAGCGCTGAACCGTAAAATGAGATCTGCTGCATCATTAAACTAGTTAATTGCTTTGACCACAATATATAAAAATTTTGTCAGGGTGACGTTATTTGTGACTTTTGAAATATTGTGAACAATATTCTTAATATATTCGTCAACAATAATTTAAATTGTTAACTGCTCTAGAGCGATAATGTTGACAGACCATAGACAATTCATCGTATGTCCAGGTAATATGGTCGATAGATAAGTTCTTCGGCATAGCTATGCCAAATTTCCAAATATGGACACTAAATGTGAATGTTAGACACGTTTTCAAATATGGAATACGTGCACTATCTTTTCTGAAAAAAAAGCTTATAAAGTGAAAAAAATATACAATTCTTGTAAAACACATAACATTCATGTAATATGATTATAAGAAATAAAAGAAAATGGACGTTTAAGTGAAAAGTTCGTTTTTGATCCAAATTCGATTAGAGGCGACAAAATGCCCCATTTTCGTGGCCATTACTCTTATAGTGTCCATTCTCTCTGGTTGGTCTGTATAAACCATCACCACCATTTCTATAGCCATTACTGTGGTTTTCTGTATAATGTGATTTAGAAGGTGCTGTGAATGTATGGGGCCGCATCTCAGAATCATAGGAGGGAAGGGCAGAACCGTTTTTCAATGTACCATTTCTAGAATGGCCGTTTCTCTTCGCACTGTCGCCATGGTCACCGCCACCTCTGCCAAATAGAATCTTCTCCATCGCCAAGAAGGGGGCTTCAAACGTTAAACTTATTGCAAGTGAAAGCACCATGGATATCATGTAATGTCCTAGAATGTTATATACCTGAAAAATAACAAAAAAGAATTGATCCCAGAAGCTCGAAGAATAGTAAATTACTTGCATAATTAATTTTTGGTAAACTCTAGGAGAAATTAAAATGTATCATAAAATGCTTAAATATTTTTGGCCTAGTTTTTCTTCGTTGTTACTTTCACAAAGTGTCCCGCTTTCCCCACCCTTCAAACATATTGTAAGAATCCATTTTAAAAATAAAATCAAAAAAGTAAACTTGATAGGGGTCGTGGATTAATATTTTAGGTGAGAAAAAAATTAAATGACGTAAAAATCCGAGGTATCACTACTGAGTAAGGCGAAAATAAAAACATCCAAATCTGTCCTGTTTGATTGCCGAATAAAATAAGAATTTAACAGCGATTATTAGAAATAACTCCAGGTTATTCATCTGGTAATTAAATTCGTTTCATGTTTTTCCTCCCGCTTTTCGCATTAGTTTGATAACAACAGATTTAAAACACCTAATGTGCATAAGTTTTACTTCTTTTTTTTACCAGACTTTTAAATATAATTTAATTTTAGTCTGTTTAATTAAGTTTATAATATGATATTTGTTACAAATTAAAAAACAAAGCAAAATCAAAGCTTAAATGCTGCAATAACTAATTTGTTTTAAATTGTAAAAATAGCTTACATTTAATATAAACTGTTTTTTGTTTTTACCAAAAGTATAAAAAGTAAACTTTTTTTAAAAATTAAAATTTTTACGAACTAGAAAAACAGCTATTTAGATAAAAACAATTCTTATCTGAAGAAAATATCTTTATATACTTTTATGTTACGCACCAATTTATAGTCATGAAACAAGAACTAAATCAGCAATACAGCTAAAAGCTATACCCTTATTTTAACTAAAATAGTAAGAAATAGAGGTTACTGTTTCCAAAAAGTGAAACAATTGTTTCAAAATAAATAAACAAGATAAAAAAAAACACAAAATCGATATAAGTTTAAAAATAGAAGAAATAATTTAAAAAAAATTGTGATCGCTTAATTACGATCACTGGTTAACCATTGCTCAAATTCTTTTTTTCTGGTTTGACTCCGCTAAACGTTATAACATTTCAAATCATAGGTTTGCAAAAACAGTCTCAATTGATGTTTGTCGTCGGATTGGTTTTCATATCCTGGCTGTTTTGTGCGTTATTAACCAGAAGTCTTGTGTGATTGGCTGTGTGTTATCATTCCATTCTCTTCTTATATATATATATATATATATAAATTTAATTTTTTGAATTTTTTTTAAAGGAAATTGTATTTGCGAAGATAAAATACTTTGTCCAAGAAAAAACACATTATGGCTGAGCTAAATGAAGAGTGCTATGTTTAATGAAGAAGCTATGTTTAATGTCAAAATCAAAATCTTGACTGATTTCAATGTGCAGTTGGATGTTGTCCGCCATTGCTTCTGTGGTTAACGTCACGTTGTAATCCAACTGCAGTTCAGTTGGACGGCAATTGTAGTTCAAGATGAGAGTTCGATGACGTACACTTTCAAACTCACAAATGGACCAATCAGAGGTTAGCGCTGATTTCCAGCTGACGGCGTCCTGTCCTAAGAAACCAAGCCTTTAAACACAGTTGAAAAGTGTAATGACGCCCAAATAAAGTGTGCGCGCCATAAAAACCAAAACAGGACCCATTTTGCCAATGGGTAATAAAGCAGCAGCCATATATCTTGATGAGTATTAGAATTTTGTGCATATTTTGCAATAAAAATTTAAATTATTTTATTTGTTATTTGGTTTGAATAATGTACAACATAAATGCATAATTACCCAGAAGTAGTGACTAGTATACATGTTGGAATGTCCAAAAGCTTCATGAACCCAGATGACTAATGGGTGAACGAGGTAGAAAACATATGAGAGTCGAGCCATTGGAGTCCAGAACTTCCATGAAAGTATATCATTTACGATACCTGAGGGAAAATTATTGGATTAACACTATTTATTTATTTTAAGTTTCATTTCATGAGTGAATGAGGTAGAATACGTATTTTCCAAATTGCAGCTTTATCCTCCCCTCTTATTTTGAGGGTCAGAAATATGAATTCGTCGAAAAAATTTAAGCTTATTTCAATAAAGTACTTTTTTGTGTCGAATTTTATAATTTAAAATATCGTTTGCACCATGTTGCTTATGGTTACGAACCATTAGGATTGAATTTTAGAACGTAAAAAACAGATCACTATATCAAAAGTTATTCAGTTCGTTTTTTATTTTGTTTAAGTTTTGTTCGTTAAAATTCGTTTTTTATTTTGAGCACAGCACACTATGATGCTTATTATGTTTTCAAATTATACTGTTTGACTTTTTAATGAGTTTTCAAAATTTCCACAGATTTCTTTTCTACACATTAGTTGAAATAGAGCATTAAGAAGAAGAAGAAGAAGAAAAAATTTTCGTTGTTAGCCTGCACTTTTGAAAAAAAACATTCTTAAAATTTTAAGCCGCAAACTCAAATTAATATTAATTATACAGCGCATAATGATTTAACTCAAACATAGATGGAATGAATTTCGTTCAACTTAAAATGGCGTTTTTTCTAAATCAGCTTTTCACGTATTGGTCGGTTTGAATACTTTAATGATTTTCGCAAGATCTAACTAAAAATTTTATAACAGTATTACGTACTTTTTCATGCATATTTTGGTTGCGTTTATAATTTTTAATTTATTAAAAAAGACACTCGTCTTTAAATTTTATTAATCCATCAATCAATTTGCTTAAAATATGACATTTTTTGATGAAGCAGTTTTCCGCCCATCTGAATGATTATAAGCGCTTGTTGAGGAAATATTTCAAATAAAATGATTTTGTGGATAAAAATTTAATTGAACTGAAAAGTATTTTCTAAGCATGACTTACCCCCATTTCCAGTGCAGCAAGTAAATAACATCCAAAATATTCCTAAAGACCAAACGAGTTTGGAGGTTCCTGCATATAAGGCTGAAATAGTTGGTCCTGGAACATTTTCATTGTTCCAAGGGTAGGCAATATACACTATGAAGAGTTGCAAAGCGGTAAAGAAGAGCCAACCAAGTATTCTTAGAGACTGTAAATAGAATTAAATCTTAAAATTGCATCATAGTTTTTTAAAAAAAAATTATTTCCTTTTTTAATATATTGATTAATTTTTTTATAGTTTGCTAAAAATTTGATTTGTTGGAACTACTCAAATTGAAGGGCTAGGTGCAATAACAGGGTAAGTTCAATATTTTACATTTTTCTTTTGTGTTGACTCAGTGTTTTGTCTGTCATTGTCGCTGAAATCTATTTTGTATTTGTTTATAACACCAAACCCGTAGGTTCTATGCCGTGAAAAGAAACTGAACACTGTACTTAAATATCACAAAAATTTCGTTAAAGTGACGAAATAACTATCGTCTCCCCGTCGAGTAAGTAATTTCGTCAAAAGTAAAAAAACAAAAACATTTCGCCATTCAATTCTTTTTTTCGATTTAATATTTATAGATGTAATTATATTTTGATCTAGATTTTATAGATGTTATATTGTAAAATTTACATCTATAAAAATTACATCCATACTCAAATCGAGACTAGAACCTGGGATCCTTCTGGCATGATTTCAACTCCTTGACCACCGTACAAACAGTCGGCAGTGAACACTGCAGTGAAGTTCCGAGTTGAGGAAACAATTTTGTTATGTGTTTGAGAATTCGCTTTTCGTCATAAATTATATATCATTCAAATAATGTTAATAATTAAGTTTGGAATAATATTTCTTACTCTAGGAATAACAATCTTAGGTTTCTTGATGAGGATATATCCTAATAACATTCCAACAAAGTATGGAGCTGCGTGACCATAAGGCTTGAAATAATTTGGTACCTCTACGTAGATTCGATCACTAAATAGAAAAATAAGTACATTAAACACAGAAAAAAAATTCTCGTAAAATGACTATAACACTAATTCTAGTAATAAAAATCAAATTATACTGTATTTAAGCCCTTCATTTGGTATTTTCTCCATTTTATGGTAGCGATTTACCGGAAATTCTGGTTTTCAAAATTATAGTTTTTAATACCACACAAAAATACAAAGCTCAAAGGTAAATTTAACAGAATAAATGGTTTCAGTATCATGATAAAATTACCAAATTTTACAACATTTAATAAAAACACGCATTATAATACCATATTTTATTTTTAATTTTATCAAAATCATTATCATAGCGCTTAGGAAAAAATTACCGAGCTTTTTAGTGTTTCGATAGAGCCAGGAACACAGTAAATTTTATTTTTTATTTTATAACCGTCGTTGAACAGCCGACCCTACTACTAATACCCTACTACTACCTACTACCTACTACGACCCTACTACCTACGACCTTACGACTACTAATGTTCAACTCCGTAGCCTTGTAATTTTGAACCCAATCCAGAAGAGAAGGGAACTCCTGGATCGAGTATCGGGAGAAATTTGCCTTCGTGGAGGACTTTTTGATGGAGCTAACCCGCATTTGCGTTACATGGAGAGGAAGACCACGAGAACCTCCCACGGTTAGCTTGACGGCAAGGGGACTCTAACTCATGATCCGCCTACCACTGAGGATATTTCACGTCAGCACTGTGGGCGGTGCGAGCCGGATGCGGAATTCGTATCGACAGGTATTCGAACCCGGTTCGCCTCATTGGAAGGCGAACTTTCTATCCCCTGAGCCATCGCGGCTCAACACAGTAAATTTAACCTTATTCTGGTAATTTTGGCCATACTTAGTGAAGTATATTTTACACTTAATTTAGAGAAAAAGTTTGCAATTACAACATACAGCCAAACGATTGCTGGCACTGTACTTTTTAATGAATATAAACTAGTAACTTTGCTGTACAAACATTTTCGTTCCATAATTGTGATTTTTTTTGTTGTTGTTCTGATACTATGCGATTGTTTTATGTTTCTGTATTGGTTAATTAGAGTATGTGATTGTTTCACTAGCAGCATAGTTAAAAATACTTTGAGGATTACTACAAATCAAAAAAGTAAAAATTCAGTTCTCTCCGAGAGTTTTTACACAGTGAAGAAGAGCCTTGCCGTAGAAGAATGTTTCCTATTCCCCAGCAATTTCGTTTCATCTCAGAATCAGCTTTCATAAACCTTTCTTCCTCCTTTGATCTTTAACGATCTTCAATTGTGATGGTATGTCTTCCGATTATCCTCAGGCATGCTTCCCACACCGTCGCCAAAAGCTCATTGTGCAACACTAGTGCGAGGGAAATAAAGTACATACATTTCACGTGTACAGTAAAAAAAATAAATACTACGTCACTTACTCTGGATCAGGGAAAAGTCCGAGTGGGCTTGGTGGTAAATCGTGAATAAGATTGACAATCGCTGCAATTGCACACATTCCAACTGTCAGCACAACACCAACTACTGCTGCAAGTTTTGGCCATCTATGAAGGAGAATTTATACTGATAATAAAACATCTTAATGAAGATAAAAAGAATATTAAAAGCAATTAACACGCCATATATGATAATTATGTATTAATGTGCAATATGAATTCATATAGCTAGTTTTAAAAAAAAGCAGAAAATTCTTATGTTATTAAGTACAATTTCTTTTATTCTAAACATTTGTTCAATTTTATTTTAAATTTTAATTCCCTGTTAATATGTTCTTATAATTGTTTTCTATATGTCAAGATTCAAAATGCTTTTCTGCTTTAAATGTAGAGCAATATTACAAAATTAAAAAAACAGATTAGTCAGGTCAGTTTAATTTTCTAAAACTCTAATAATTTACAAAAATGTGCAGATTATTGCGCACTTTCTTAAAACTGCATGCGATATTAAATAAGTAAACATTATTAAGCTGATAACATAATTGATTTAATCCTTTTTCGCATTTTGAGCAATAAAATTAAATTCCTTTACTTCAATACAAGAATATTCATAATCGCATTCATATTTTAACTTAATTCCTAGTTGTTTTTATAGTTTCGTAAAACACAGCGTTGTAACAGTGATAAATTTTTTTTAATGTATGACAAATTTAATTGTTTAATTTAAAATGTTTGCTCAACAGGTGTTTTGACTTTTCAAATAAAAAAACTTAATGATTTAAATCATTTTAAAATTTTGACACCTGGACCTTTTTAAAACTAGCTATGCATTACCCAACACTTTTTACAGTTAAGAAATATTGAAAAAATTTAGCTAATAATAAATAACGTCAAAACATCGAATTCTACATGTTTTGACTGTATTTATTTGTTAATAAATTAGCGCCCCTGGTATGATCAACAATTGAAAAATGCTTAAAAGAAAATTAGCTAAATAAAAAAGTAATTAATTACCTTATCAATGGCAAAAGTACACAGAGACCCAAAATATGTAATTGCATGTCCACTCCTAGATACCAAGTATGTTCCAAACACTGCAAGTCAAAGTCAAAGTTAATAAACAAAATATTTTGTTTTTTTATTGTATACAACTAAAACAATCGAATTGCTACATATGAAAATTTTTTTTTTATTGATCGTTGTTCAAATAGATAATATTCTACACGATCAAAGATTGAAGAACATATTGAACTATAATGCGGTTTAAATTTACTGCAACTTAAATAAGGTGCAAAGCTGAACTACATAATAGTGCAAACTAAACCATCTTTAGTTGGTTATGTGACAGTATAATTCAAATTAAATGGAAACATAATTCAATTTAAGAAATTTTCATGTTGTTACAAATTTGCACAATTGGTGTCCATATTATGGCAGTATATTATGGTATATAGGTGTCCCCAGAGTCATTCCTATGTGCCGATATTAAGGTTTTATGTTGAATCAATTTTTCCTAAACACATACTTTTAAGTTAAATTTTGTGAAGAAATTAAGATATTAGGGCACTTGAGCTGTCAGAACTATTAGTCTTCTTAATTTTGTAGTGTTAATTAGCTTTAATAAATATTTTAAACTTCATTGTTAATTTAAAAAATAATATTGATAATGTAAATGAAGTAGAAAGAGTTAACTATTAAGGTAAACTATGTAATGAAATAATGATAAGACATTTAAGCTGTCAGAACTATTAGTATTTTTATAAAGTTTAGAGGGTTAATTGGCGTAATAAGTACTAAAAGATTGCACTGTTACTTAATAAAATTACTAATAATGTAAATTCGATAGAAAGAATGAACTATTTTTTGGAAAACTTTGAGAAAAAATTAAGGTATTGTGACATTTGAACTGTCGACTTTTTATAAAGAATGTAGTGTTAATTTGCATTAATTAGTATTGAAAAATTGCACTGTTACTTTAAAAAAACGTACTGAGGAAGTAAACTAAGTAGAAAGAGTTGATTATGCTTAAGTTGAATTTTGTAGAGGAATTAAGATGTTATAACATTTAAGCTTCCAGACCTATTCGCCTTTTATAAAATTTGTAATTTTAATTAGTGTATTGAAAAATTGCACTGTTACTTCAAAAAACTTACTGATGAAGCAAACTAAGTAGAACGAATTACTATTAAGGTAAACTATGCAAAGAAATAATGATATGACACTTCAGATGTCAGAACTAAGTTTGGAATGCGTTAATTTGAGTTAATAAGTATTAAAATGTTGTGCTGTTACTTAAAAAAAAATTACTGATGTTGTAAACTGGCAGTTATGCATTCAAACAATATTAAGACTTTATGAATGTTTGACATCAACTGACATTGTGTAGCACCAAAATTTCTTTTTACTTACAAAATCATAAGTATTGACGTAGTTGTTCACGTAGAGAAGATTTGTCCACCAATTCGCTCTACAATTGGCAATAAGAGGATCGAGAGTAACTTTCCAAACTGGCCCTGAGCCAAGAACAGGACTTAAAATAAGAAATCCAATGGTCATTGCATATGGGGGAGTCAACCTGTAAAATATTACATCAAAGTAATTAGCGATTTCTAAGTTTCAATCCATTCTGGTTAAAACAATCACACTATAGGTTAAAAAAAAAATCTGGAAAATTACAATGCTGTATGATAAAGACATTTCTGGTAAAAGATGCCATCATTCTGATAATAAAAATAAAAATATATGGTTTTTAAATTAGGCATTTGGTAGTTTTTCCGTTTATATGATAACGCTTCACCGAAAATTCTGCTTTACAATATTACAGTTTTTATTACCACTCATTAAAGTAAAAGATATGAAACTGAAAAATAAGTTTAACCGAATAAATGGTTTTTATGCCATGCTAAGGCATCATGATAAAAATTCCAAATTTTACCACACCTAACAAATTTTGTCGCATATTTAAAAACAATATTTTTTTACTAATTTTACAAGAATCATTAAGAAAGAGCATTGATAAAAGTTTCCGTGCTTTTTGGAGTTCTCATAGAACCAGACAGACGGTAATATTACCATATTCTGTTTTCCAATTGCACAAATTTGCAAGAAATTACGTAACTGCACATTTTGTAGTTATAAAATGCAAAATATTTAAATGCGAAATTCAATAATAAAAATAAGAACTGCAATTTTGCCAATCTTATTAGCAGAATGCTTTTTAAGATCTTTCTTAATAAAAATAAGATGTAATCATTGTTAAATTAAGTAAAATAAGCGTTAAAAAATATTATATCTATAAGAATAAAATGGAAACTAGAATTAGAAAATGAAAAATTTGAGAATAACAATCCCTAATTTTAACTTTCATAATTGATATTTCCACCTGTACTATTAGAAAAAGAAGTACTATTTGGAATGCAGAAAAAAAAGTATCTGAATAAAATTTGCCTCATCAAAAATTTGTTTTTTGTATCTTCTTTTTCACAAGCTATAAAATTTATAGCATAAGTAATTATAAATGTCAGAAATCTGAATGTATTAACTATTGTAACCGCCAATGAAAAAAAATTAATATAATAGTAAAGAAAATAGTTGTAATTAACTTGACAAAAACACGCATAAACATTATAAAAGGATTAATTGTTGAGTTTAGAGAAAGATTGTTAAGAAAACGTACCTCCAAAAGCGATGAAATATGTACATGGGTATATTAAGGCCTTTTCTTTTTTCTTGTGACTTTAGAACACCATATGTAACGAGCATCCCGCTGAAATATGTAATATTTTTGAAATATAAGGTTTATATCATTATGTCCCAGGCTACCAATGCATTACAGAATGATACTATATGACGGATAATAATATCTATTCACTAGCATGGTACACTATAATTGACAGTTTCATCAAAATAATGCAAATGCGACAGCAAAAGCAGGAAGAACTTTTATTAGATTTGGTGTTACATAAAAAATTACAACATGCTTACAATAAATATCATCATAAAAAAAGCCTTTATAATTTGAAAGACAGGATATGCAGTATATTAAATAATATAAGGTGACTCATAATTGTTGTGTTATCTCTCAAACACCAAATTCTTTTTATTACATTGATAATGTAAATTATAATATTTAGGGATGAAGATTAAAAAGTATCAAAATTTTTTCCACATTAAACATTCATAACAATGTGGAAATTAAAATTTACAATCCAAATTATAAATAATTGCTTCGAAAATTAATAAGTCTTTAAGTAAAATTTGTTTGAATTTACTGATGTGATTAGAAAGTGAGAGTTTTATAGTGTTAGGTGCAACGTACCTCATCATTATGAAAGTATCCACTGTAAGCATGGCATTGGCAATAATCTGGAAGGCGAAATTTGGTGGCAAACCTGACAGTCGCATTGCTTGATCTGTAACAAACAAGGAAAGGAAACGCAACATATTGTTAACATTAAGAAATATGAAATTCTAAAATACAATAGATATCTAGATTACTTTTGGATTGGGTAGTGTCATCACCGTGAATAAATGAATTTTGCCGATAATCCATAAAATAATCTAAACTGCCACCTCTATTTTTTATTCTGCACAATAAATCCCTCCTTCAAATATTATATATATTTTTTAAATAATTTATCAAATGCATAAATAGTATCAATCAATGACAAAAATACAATACGGAAAGATATACAATTAAAATAAACGGGACAAAATCCACTTGAGACGAAACATCGTAGGGACAGAAAGTCACTCAAACTTCATAGATATATTTCAATAAGAGCAAAATATCTTAGGACACAATCCAAGCAGGACGAAACCTGAGGGATATATAATTAAAATATTCAAGGCAAAATCCTCTTGAGACGAAACATCGTAGGTACAGAAAGTAACACAAGCATCATGGATATATTTTAACAAGAGCAAAATATCCTGGGACATAAACTGACCAGTATAAAACCGGAGAGATATACAAATACAATATGCGGGGTAAAATCCTCTTGAGACGAAACATTGTGGGGACAGAAAGTAACACTAACATAGATATGTCTTAGCAAGAATTAGATATCCTGGGATATAAACTAACCAAAACAAAACATCGTGAGTCAAAACATCACGCGAACAAAACAAAACTTTTATCTGGCAGTGTCTTAATCGTGGGGCAGAATCTCAATCTAACTCAGGCAACATGCCGTGCTAACCAAAACAAAACATCGCGAGTCAAAACATCACGCGAACAAAACAAAACTTTTATCTGGCAGTGTCTTAATCGTCTGACAGAATATCAATCTAACTCAACCAACATACCATGATATAGAGTCTCGTTAACAAAATTTCATGGAACACAATCTCAAGCAGAAAGAGCACTGATATAATTAAACTGAATCTCTTATTTTGTCAAGAGATTATACTTACAATAACATTTCATACATGCCAAATTTTGTTATTGATTAATTTCCCAGGGAATAAATATGAGTTTTTAAGTACTTATATTTTTATGAAGAAAAGAAACCAACTCATTTGATTGTAATCAGCATAGAGGTAGGAGTGTCCAACAATAACCCAGGTAACAGTTATGTATCGAACGCCATTCACTGCTGCCAAATGCTTGCTGTCTTCTTTTTGGTCGACGTTGATCAGCTTCAAGTAATTTGTGTAGACCGAGAAGCATACCAGGGCTTTGTAATAAGTTTCTAAAAAAGCAAAGAAAAGATCTTAATACAAACAAGATACTTGAAGAATTATTTAATTGAATAAGAATAATTTGATATTGACGCTCATAGATTTGAAGAAATAAATTATTTATAAGCATTAATAAGTATTTTAAATAATGCATGTCATTGCAAAACAAGTTTAATTTATAGGAAGGTTTTTAATGCAATACTATGTAAAATGTGATAGTACAAAAAATTGAAACAAAGTTTTATTAAAATTATATATATTTATTAATTGAAAAATAAAGTACAAAGAATAGGGATGAAATAGCACATTGTCAAATGATCTCCACGGCTTTTCTGGCACATGCACCCTCTTTTGTTGAAATTTTCCATGACCATTTTGTATTATTCAAGCTAAATTTCATTGATGTAGCGTTAAATCTCATTCTTCACTCCTCAGAAGGATGTGGGATTGTTAACATGCAGCTTTGACTACTAATAGCTCCATGAAAAGAAACTCCACAGAACTAAATTTAATGGTGAATCACAAGTCTGATTCCGATCTGATCTGGGGCCGATTCTGATCACCGTAACACGAGAGTACTACATGACTAGGAAATGTCTTATGCAGAAATTGGATTGTTTCATGGGTTTTCAGCATTGAAAACACGTTTATTGTTACAGTGCTGCATTTCTGCTAACCCTTAACTATCAGCTGTCTAATAACTTTCTCTTTTTTTGCCATCTCAAAATAATTAATGTTCTATTTCATTCAAATATTTTGTTAATTTTGGGACACTCTTTTTATATCTATTTTTATGCATTATTTAAGATTTTTTATTGAACTTGATACATTAAATGAGACAAAAAAAATTTGGAGCAGGGGAGGGGGGGTTGATAAAAAGGTTTAAATTGAGTAAAGCATAATAAAAGCCGTTTACTCTTCTTAAACTTTTTAACATAGTTTCAACTCTTCTTAAATAAGAATAAAACTTTGAGATGATGATAAATGAAAACAAAAATCAGCGTAAATTACCACATTTATTTAAATGAGGTTGCATGCAAGTTTTGATGCAACAATGGTGTATTATCTTGGAGCATCAGAATTAAATGGAGGAGAAACATTACAACAATTTAAAAAGGTTAAAAACACTACAATATTTAATTGCTAAAATATTATAACAAGTGAAAGAAAGATATCCTAATAAACTGAGAAGTTAAAATATTATATAATTGCTGTATTCTTACTTCACCGAAACTATTCAGTAAACTATAAAAAGCTATGTTAATAAATTTAATGGCATTAAAAAGTGCGTTTTATTTAAGTGACTAAATTGTTAAAATGCTTCATCGCCAAAATATTACAACTAGAGAGTAAAAAGTCATCTTAACAAACTAAAAGTAATTAAAAGATGTTTTAATTGTTGTTATGCTACACTACTAAAACATTACAACAATTTGTAAACAGCAATCTTCGTGAACTGAAAGTAATTAAAAGAGGTTTCAATTGTTGTTATGCTACACCACTAAAATATTACAACATTTGATAAAAAACCATCTTAACAAACTAAAAGTAGTTAGATATCGTAGTTGTAATGTTTCTTCGCCAAAACATAAAAAGAAACAGTAAAAAGTTATCCTAATAAATTTCAATTGATGAAGTGATATCCTAATCATTTGAAAGTGGTTAAAAATATTCTAATTAATTGAAAGAGTTAAAAAATAATACAAATTCTCGTCGAAATATTACAACTAGCGGCAAGAAGAAATAATAAAAAATAATGTTAAAGGTTATTATAATTGTTTATTTACCATTTTATTCTGCATTTTACTAAGCTATGCAAAAGTGGCTTCTTAACAGCATCGAAACTTTTATGCAAATTTACTCAAATATATTTATAATTTCACGTTGCTTTCCTTTTTTTCGAACTATAATACATTTCTTTTACAAAAATATGAATAGAGATTCGTGCCATCTGTCATTAGGAAATAGCAGCCTTAAATTTAAAAAAAAAATACAACGAAAAAATAGACTTACTTTTTGTAACTGATAAAGGTTCAGGATCATTTCCTTGGCGCAAAATCGTGATAACATCTAAAGTTGTTCCAATAATCATTAACACAAGAAATAGTGCTATAACAGCTCTGTGAATAATAAAAAAGGTTTTAATGAACAACTAAATAGATTTTGAAGCGTGTATAACTTTGAGTTAAATCACATCAATTTTAAAATATAAATTTAGTATATAAAAGGTACTTACACTACTGCCATCTGCTCATTGCTTAAAGTAAAAGGCTGTTTAGTTTCACAAGTGGGCATTTTTACTGTTCCTTTGATATTCATGTGCTTGGGTACTGCAAAATTAAAATTTTATTGAAAATAGTGTGACGAAAACTTGAAATTGGAGACACGCAAACATATATTACACACAGAAATTAACTCTTATTATAATTTTGCAATTATTTTGCCGCGATCTCTAAAAATTGTCACTCTATTTTTCCGAAAATTAAATTCATGATTGTGTTTCGAGATAATTGTAGAAAATTCAATGGAAACTTCTCTCATATATTTCATACAGGATGATGAACATTGACTGCTTTTAACACGCTGAATGCCATGTTAATTTTACATGGTTTGTCCGTCTGGCCAAAATGATTTTCTCAGTATGTATTGCATTAATTTCTTCAAACCATTTTAGTAACGATAATAATAAAAAAATTAAAAAGATTAAAATTTTACTCTACTTATGTGTTTCTAATAATCTTGGCTTCGTCGGTCACCGGTGACCCCCATAGCATTCAACGTGTTAAAGCATTTTTTTTTAAAATTTTTGTCAAAAATGAAGTTTAAAAAGTATACCACTAAGACTATCAAGAGATATTTATACCCCCTTTAAATCCAGCAATTTAGAACCTTTGCTTTGCTTTTAAATTTTATTAACATTTTATTTTTATAAATAAAAAATAATGCTCACTATAGATCAAACAGCTCATAAATTAAATACAAAAGTTGCATTTTGAAATTCATTGATACATGTAACTGATACAAAACTTCTTTTCTAATTAGATATAGAAAAAAACTTGAATGGAATATTAAAAAAATAACAGAACTCACTGTTTTTTTTTTTTTTTTGAATTTCTACACTATTTGTTTTTAAGAAAAAATTAAATAAAGCTTGATTTTCATTAATTTTTTCATACTTTGCGAATGATTCTGACAGTGTAAATTTCAAAATTGAAATCAAAACGTTGAAGGTTAGGGCTTGCAAATTACTATTTTAAGAGAAGAAGAAACAAAATATGGAAATCTAACGAAGCACAGCCAACAAAAGCGGAGCGAAAATGATAAAAAATGTGTTTGATTACGGAAAAATATAGAGGTGCTTGAAAATCGATATTAAAAACGATTCCAACTTTCTCGGACATTCAAACTTGTTTTGTTTATTTTCACTCTAACTTTCTCACTAGTGGTTCATTAGATTCCGATAATGTTTTTATTTTTCATTAGATTATATATTTAATCGTGTGATGTACTTTTTTGATTCAAGTTTTAGAAAGGATCTTAAAAATGTATACCAATGGTTTAGATCATGAAACAGTTTGAATTTCATACCCAAAATGGATGTGTTTTAAACCCGTGTAAAATATTTTTGTTAGAATTCAGATATTAAAGGAAGTATTAAATTCATTTTTGAATGAGAGAAGAAAAATTCTTACGGTTGAAACAATAGAATATTACAGTTATTAAGAACGCCTTTCACTTTCACCTTAAAAATAAACTGGTTTTGGTATCTTTAATACTACCATCCCTCTAAATAACCTCAATATTAATTACCCAATTTTTTTTAATTTTTCTTTGTTATGAAAATAATTTGCTCATTTTAATACTATTTAATAATCTCTGATGAATTTATTTTTGATAAAATTTTAAAAATGTATATAAAAGGCTGTAGTTATAAAACACCTGTTCTAAATATAAAATGAAAATAAAGCATTTTGTATTCGGTTTTGAGTTCTTCCAATTACCAAGTTACTATAAATAGCAGCAAAATAGTGATGAAATTAAATTCATATATTTTTATACCTGAGTAGCGCAGGAGAAAAAAACATTATACAAGTAAGATTAATGCTAAGATTCAAATCAGGATAAAAGATAATAAATGTAAGTTTATTTGTAACGCAAGTGTAGTATACTACACTTGTGTTACAAATTATTAAGTATGCTATTATTAAGTATACATCTTGAATGTATGCTTAACTTTAGTTTAATTATTTGTTTAAATTTAATGCATGCAAAAAAGATGGATTTTGAAACGAACTCATTAGTATAAAATGTAAAATATGCTTACTTTGCTCAGCAATGCTCAATACATCGTCTTTTGTGCATGCGCTCGGCATGCATAGGCCCATTCTTAGTTCCAAGAAATAAAACCAATGTGCATTCTGGGCATTGTAGCCGAAACTCTATAGGAGGAATATAATAGTAAGAAATAAGAGCATTCGAATTAATTAATTTTGATATTGGGAAATCATGATTTTATTACGATGGATCAGTATTAAAAAATGCTAAGGTGATCACTGTTAACTTTCCCTCGAGTTCTAAAGGTACTAGTACATCATCCCCGTAAAATAAGCAAACTCAAAGTGTAAATAAAGAAAATTAATCCCTGAATAGATTTTGACTTAAAGGTCGATTTTCTCGTAACATAAAATCATAAAGGTGTAACACAATGGTCTAACCATTGTTGTCGGTGCATTTTAATTGGCTGGAAAATCACATGGTTTTCCGACATTGATTTCCATATGTTTTGTTTGCCATCAGCATAAAATTAAAAAAATTCATAATGGTATTGCTTTCCCATAAACATTTTTGCATTTCTAGTTTAAGGGTATTTGTACATGTGGTGCAATTATTACGTTTTTTATTTTAATTGTTTTCTAAATTAAGAGTTTTTATTATGGCGTAATTCTAAGCTACATTTTAAGATAAAGTTATTTATATCGGTGTCTGATCTTATTAACCTTTTTACAATTATTATTTTTTGTGTAATTTCCATCAATATATTATTTTGTCTTACATCCGTCGTTGAACAGCCGACCCAATTTTGGATTTACGGCTACTAATATTCAATTCCGTAGCCTTGTAATTTTGAACCCATTCCAGAAGACAATGGAACTCCTGAATCGAGTATTGGGAGAAATTTGCCTTCGTGGAGGATTTTTTGACGGAGCCGCATTTGCGTTACATGGATAGGAAGACCACGAGAACCTCCCACGGTTAGCCTGACGGCAAGGGGACCCTAACCCATGATCCATCTACCACTGAGGATATTTCACGGCAGCACTATGGTCGTTGCAAGCCGGATTCGTATCGACTGGGATTCGAACCCGGTTCGCCTTATTGGAAGGCGAACGCTCTATCCCCTGAACCATCGCGGCCATCAATATACTATTATAAATTACAGGTAAAGAGATTCGTTAAGTTATTTAGAACTTATGCAAAATAACCGAAGAGCCATTACATTATGACCCCCCCCCCCCATCTATAACAATGGGCTCGCCCAGGTTTTTATGGTTTCTCGCTCAGGAACAATGTTTTCAGGTTGCACATTAGGAACCATAATCCTCATAGAACAATCCCTGACGTCTGTAAGTTACTTGAACATAGTTGCAAACCAGGTTCATCCATTCATGGCAACAGTTTTTCCTGCGGAGCATGATGTTTACCAACAGGATAATGCACCATGTCATAAGGGGTGAATCGTCATGGATTGGTTCGAGGAACATTCCAGTGACTTTCAAGTCATGTCTTGGCCCCCAAATTCACCTGACCTTAATCCAATAGAGCATTTGTGGTCCTACTTGGAAAACCAAATTCGTGCTGCCACGCTACCCCCTCGCAATGTGAGGGAATTGCAGGACCAGTTCGTGAGCGCTTGGTACCAGAAACCTCCGACTACCTATCAGCACCTTGTGGAATCAATGCAACGGCGGCTGCTAGCAGTTTTGAGGGCTAAAGGTGGTCCTACATGTTATTAGCAGGGTGGTCATAATGTAATGGCTCTTCGGTGTATGATGCATGCAAGAATTGTATTTAATATTTCCGTCCGTTTGGTAAGCTAAAATATTAAACTATAGTTGAGAACTCACGAAATTTGTTGAATGCTTTTAATTTTAAATATTATTTCTAAAAAATTGATTGCTTAGAAAAAGTACTTTTGTTCACAAATAGAATTTAATAGAATCACAGGGAAAATATTTGGACGTGGAAAGGGGGGCACAAGCAGAAGCAAACATAATTCTTTTTAGTTTATATACTTTAAGTGAATAATTTTAACTTTCATTGAGAAAAGCTGCTTTTTGTCAAGAAACAAACAATTATTGCGACGCAATCATCGGGATTGAGAGCGGCAGCGAATAGGGGACTTTGCCTCCTAGTTTTTTTTTTTTTTTTACTAAGAAAGACTATTATTTCATTACACTCATTACGAATGACCACTGCATTTTTACTACTTCATTATTTTACGCACTCACCAAAGATTTGCTAATTATTTTATGCAGATAAAATTCAGGTTAAAAAAAAGTACAAAAATTGCATTTTCTCAAAACAAACGCGTCTTACTTTTTGACAAAATTTCGGTTTTGGACTCCCAAATTATAAGAGACAGTCAGTCAAACATGTGTTGTTTTTAATGTTATTCTTACGTCTGGTGAAGAATTGCTCCGTATATGTGAAATAATTTCATGAATAAAAGTATCTTTGCACCCATTTATGAAGCGTGTTTAACTAAAGATTAATATTTATTTAGGAATTAGCTAAAAAAGTAAGTAGAAACAAAGAATCTAATTATTTTATTACTTAAAATATATAATAAAAATTACACATTAAGAAAAATTTCTTAACTTACTGACACCTGATTTTTTAAGGTGAAAAAACATTGGTTTTTATTTTGCCTTAGTTGAAAATAACATGAATATTACAAAGTTTTACTTATCTTTAATTTCCATTTATTTGTTTATCCATTTTATTTCAATCTTAATTCCATTGTTCGATTTGATTTAATTTTTTACGAATTCTTTTTTCTCTTAGATAACTAATCGTTAGATATAATAGCATTTGATATAATAGCATTATTTAATATAAAAAAAACAATAACACCAAACTTAGTCTAGATATATTTAAATTAAATTAGGCCAATTTGTCATGTGAGCAATTTTAAAGTAAAAATTGGCACGATAATAAGGTTCAACTTGGTGTCTCTTTAAAAGTTAATTGAATAAGATAAAGTTTTCAGCAATAAATATTTTTCATTCAGCAGCAATTCATACGAAGCATAAAAAAACAGGGGAATACAATAAATATTGTCTTTGTGCAAAAGTTAACTTTTAAACGTACTTTAATTAAATAGGACAAAAAAAAAAGGCAAAATTAGAAAACTGCCCATACATTTATCTAAACATAACATAAAGTAAAAAATTTGATAATTTTTCCTCGTGTACCATTTAGGTATATCTTTTGATTTTAAAAAACAAATGATAATCTTTTTGAAATCGTCATAAGATTCAAAAAGAAAAGGAAACACCGAAATTCAGTTTTATCAACGCATCAAATTTTTGTGAGAAAATTCTTTCCTGTAACTGTAACCATAATTTTCAATAAGATCAAATCTTTGTAAAATCATAATATTGAATTGTAAATGTTACATTATAGATGTAAATAACAGTTTACTTCTTTCAAACGTAAGCTGTCCCCTTATACTTACAGTATTTTTCCTCACAATCGGTTCCAATTCATGAATTTTGTGGAAGAGAGTATAAAGTTGCGGTTTTTTGGGAAGAAGAGGTACAAAGGTGGATAGACAGTACATTCCTCTCTGTTCATTTCCATCCGGGTCTTTCATGTCTGGCATTTCTAAGTTGATACATTCGTCATAGTCCCCAATGTGACCAAGGTTTCCTTCGAACATTCCAGCTCCTGGCTTACCCCAAGCATCAACCACTATAAAAATGGACAAAAGAGAAAAAAGTTGTTTTTAAAATCAACTTATATTAAATGTCTCTTAAAAATTTTTTTTTTTCAAGAATGTGAATATATGGGTAATATTTCTTATACTATATATCAGTGGCAGTAGTAACAGTAGCACATGAGGGATTGAAAAGCAGCTTGACAAGCTTTTTTTTTTATTTATATGTAGAATATTACTAAATTATTGAGCACAAGCAATGATTTTTTTAAGCTCCTTGTTAACAGAAGTTCGTATACGCCTCTTAGTAACTGCATATTTTAGTAAAAATGCCTCTTAATCACAGTTTAACAGCCCAGGGTTGGTCAATGCTTCCCTTTGAAATCTATTCTGCCTTCATAAGGTTGTCATGGTACCATAACGTTGCGGTAGTGATATTAAGGATTGATTGAATTTTTGTTGTTGTTTGAATTTAGATTTTTTATAAACAACTTCATCGTTTAATTTTATAAATCGAGAGATATTTCTGAAAAGTCGCATCTGTCATATACTTAACCATCCCGACCCATAATCCGAGAATTTGCCCGTAACGATTATGTTTAGAGTTTTTGAAAAAAATAGTTTACTTAAATAAATTCTTAGACTGCACAAATGAACATGTTGCTATTGAAGTGCTTTTCTATGCTAATTTTTTTTTATAACCTTTAAAAATATAATAAAATACTGAATTTTGATAATAACAATTGAAAAGTTATGGTTTCTACCTTGATGTATTGCAACTTCAACCCTACATAGTTCTCGCTTAGCAGCAATTTTATATGAATTACAAGGTAGGTCGGTATTTTATATACGTCGCACTAGAGCTGCGCAATGGGCTATTGGCGGCGGTCTGGGGAATATCTCTGAGGATCCGAAGACATGCCATCTCAATTTTGATTCTTTGCAGAGGGGATGGTTCCCCTACATTTTTTTTTTTTTTTAATTTTAAACAGGAAAAATTTTGTAAATTAATGCCATTAACATTATAAAATTTAAATATTAAAATGTAGGTAACAAACAATCTTAGCTTTTAAAACCCAAAACTATTTAATAAAAAGATATATAAACTCTATTTTTTTTTTATGCATTAAATGTGATGTAATCAAAAATATTATATAACTGTATATCTCTCTACTTTATGTTTTTTTTTTTTCAATTTTCTTTTATTGTCTAAAAAGTTATAAGAAAACGATTTAGATGATGCTAAAAATATTTCTAAGTGTAACTTACACGAAAACAAAGATATTTAACAAAAATTTGAAAACAAGCAACTATATAATATTTAAAAAAATTTTAAAAATGCTAATTTCAAAATTTTATTGGTATAATTATGTCAGAAAAATCAATTAAAACTCTAGAATTACACTAGCGATACATCTTTTAATCAGATCAGCGCTGTTTTTGCATTTTGTAAGTTTCGAAAGATATTGCTCTGAGGGAGAAAAAATTATGGTCAAAACTACCAGAATATGGTAATATTTACCGTGCATAATTTCTACCTCTATGGGAACACCAAAAATCTCGATAATTTTAACCGAAGAGTTTTTGTAATGATTTTAGCAAAATTAATCATAAAATATGGCTTTATAATAAGTGATAAAATTTGGTTAATGTGATAAAATTCAGCATTTTTTTATCATGATACCTTAGAGCCTAGCATAAAAGCCATTTATTCGCTTAAATTTTCCTTTCAGTTTTGCATTTTTTTACTAATTGTGAGGTAATAGGAACTGTAATTTTGAAAACTTGAATTTCAGGAAAGCCGTTACATGGAAAAATTTCCAAATAAATTGCTGAAATGCCGTATACTTTGGTTTTTATAGCCAGAATCATGGTTTTTCTTACAAGAAATATCCTTGCCATGCATTACCTTACCATAACCAGAATTTTTTTCTCCGTGTTCCAAGTTTTATAAAAATTCAATGTAATTAAAACATATTTAGAATACCCCTCTCCGTCTTCCACCCTTTTGACTCGTAAAAAAAATAGGTCTCATACTAGAAGACAGCCCCTTAAATTAAGCTAATAATAGACATAACAAAAATCTAAATTCAGAATTTTTTCCCGTTAGTGCACACAAAAGCAGACAAGAGCATCTTTGAAAAAAAGATTAATCACCAAAATATGTTTATTTCCCAACACAAATTGTATAAATATCGCCAACAAATATTTACTTCCTGTATCACACAGCACGTGTAATAACTAAATAAGGTCGACGGAAAAGTGGTTAAATTAGGCTTTCTTTTTCAATTTCATGAGAACCTGCGTTTTTATTGAAAAGCAACTGAGACTATTCGAGAAAGCGCGCTTCCTAGCCCCAGGGGGCAACAGATACCCCAGTTACAGTGAAACTATCCCAGTTTTTTTGTTTTTTGTTTTCATCCTATCCTGATGAAGAGCGTTGAACCACAAGATGACTTCTGAAAGTTTGACAGTAGATAATGTATTTCTTTGATGTGTTTTTATCCAAACTTCAACTGGGAGGTTTCGATTATATAGTTTTGATGGAGCATGGACTGGCTTAATTGGAATTGAAAATGATAACTAGTTCGAGATTTATTTTTATGCTACTAATTATAAGTGGAGTGACATATGTCTGAAAATCGAAGTTCGGACGCTGTTAAACTTATGCGCAGAAACTGATTTTTGTTTTATAAAACTATGAGATACATAAATATTTTTTATTTGTTTAAAAAAAAGTCCTTAACACAATTAAAAAAAATCGTTAACATAATTACCACAAATATGTTTCAGTTACATGGTTATAATAATTCTCACAGTCTTGTTGGCGATTCGCGATCACCAAGGTATTTTTCAAACCTAATATTGATTATCGGGGATTGGCTTTATTTTTGGCTATGTTATTTTTTGATAAATCACTAACCATGGATCTCTTCTCATGATTTTAAAGGTCTGTTGAGAACAATTCTATTACTTTTTAATTTGGCATGTCATGGGGATTTGCCTCCCATGGCCTGTTTTATATCGAATATACCTTGAATTTTATGTAATCTTTTTCTGATCATGAAATTTATATCATTTAGATAATTTTGAGTTCAATGGCCGTGATGATTTTTTTTCCTTATTGTTGATGTTTTCATTCTACATTTGCAGACCGGCCTGTTTAGGGGTTAGGGAACTGGCCTTGCATTAGAAAAGTTCTGGGTTCGAATCCCGGGTAAGGCATGGATGTTCTTTCCTTCTCTGTCCTTACTGTGGGAGCAACGTTGGCCCACCTAAAATGGTGCCCCTGAAAAGGTGGTTATCAAATCTACTTTCAGGTGCCTGTATGACGAATGGTCATTCGTGGACATTGGAAGAAAAAAAAAATCAATTTTTTTTTCTTACGTTAAGCATAGTTTTTTTATATTATTTGATTTTGCTACCATGAACAAGTATATATTGTGATTTATTTATTATTTTTCAAGTTATTTTTACTAAGTTGTTGTTATAGCCACACCCAGCTCTTATATCCTTCAATCAGAACTAATTTTATTTAACTAATGCTATTTTATTACCGGCGTTCAACAGCTGAACCAATTCTGAGTTTACGACTATCAATGTTCAACTCCGTAGCCTTGATTTTTGAACCTAACCCTAAGACAAGGGAACTGCTGAATCAAGCATTGGGACTAACTAGTCTCCATGGAAGACTTTTTGATGAATCCACTAACTAGAACCTGAACCGAATTCGTTGTGAACTAACCAGCGTTTGTATTAAATGGGGAGTGAAACCATGAAACCTTCTCACGGATACCCAGACGACACGTGGGTTCTCACCCATGATTCAACTACCACTAAGAATATTTTACGTTAACAATGTAGACAAGGCGAGCCGGGAGCAGAATTCGCTAAAACCAGTCACAGCTGGGATTCGAACCCGGGTTTCCTCATCACTCTCTCCCCTGAAACACCACGACTCTATTTAAATAATTAAATTTTAATCGAATAATTATTAGAGGGCAGCCAATCCAAAAAATTATAGTTTTCGTTCCATGCATCGTATTAATCGTGTTATTTTAATCACGCGTAATCAATATGATATTAGTGTAACTTGTTAATCCGTCGTGAAATGATGTAATTAAAAAAACTAATTTAAAAATCGATTAATGGAATTATTTTATTACAAATATGTTCTTTTCGTGAGATATGACATTAATATTTTTCTAAAAATCAGGGTTTAACAAAAATTTTGCCATTGTGAGAACACCTAATTACATTACATCATGATTTGGTAAGAGGAAATTTTCTTATTAATGAATCAATGCTATCTTAAAGCCATCATTAATTTCATTAGCGAAACAAAATTAACACACTGTTATAATACTCCAAAGTACCCCAGTATTGTTCCCTAATTCTCACTACCTAACTGAAGTAATTCTGGTTTTGCATTCTGATATAATTCCCCTAATTTAAATTGTAGTGTTGTAATACTGGAATGTTGCTTTAACGTAATTCTGTAAACTTCAACTGCAAACTGGAATGTTATTCTAATGTAATTTTGTAAATTTCAACTATAGATTGAAGGAATTTTGGAGTCGCATTCCAAAATAATTTTTTTTAAAATTCCTACTGCAGACTGGGGTGGCATTCTAATGTAATTATATTTCAACTACAGACTGGAATGTTATTCCATTGTAATTTTGTAAATTTTAACTATAGATTGAAGGAATTCTGGAGTCGCATTCTAAAATAATTTTTTTTGAATTCCAATTGCAGACTGGAGTGGCATTCTAATGTAATTATTTAAATTTCAACTACTGACTAGACTATTATTCTAATGTAATTTTGTAAATTTCAACGATAGATTGAAAGAATTCTAGAGGGAAATTTCAAAGCAATTCTCTTCATTTCAATTGTATAAACTGAAGTAATTCTGCGTTCTATGTAATTCAAATTTTAACTAGTAATTTTGGAGCGGTATTTTCATGTAGTTTCCAAATTTAAACTACACACTGAATGTTCTTCTAATATATTTTCCTAAATTTTAACTAGC